AAAAAAATGAAATAAGGCTTTTGAAAGAAATTGTTAATGTTACAATGACCTTCACTTCTTTATGTCTCAAATTAATATAATCATTGTGTAGTATTTTTTAAAGAATCATCAATTAGAACTGTAATTTTATCCTTTATAAAGTGAAATACTACCACTCATAAAAGTTAAGTATAGACTGCTCGTATTGTGACAGTTACTAGTACTGGCAAGTGTTTGGGGGAATATTTGTTAGTGCATTTAAAAAGTTCGAGAAGAAACAGTTGTTTTTCCTCTCTAGTGTAGAGACAGTTCTTATTGCTCATACAATGTTCTTATTTTTTCACACATTCTTTTTCTTTCCTACCCTCATTGGTTTCTCCCCCCACCCCCATCATTTACACACCATAACTTGGAACTGTCAATGTTAACCTGACTTAGGAGGATGAGTTTTTTTTTAAGAAAATGAATGGTGGTTTTAGCCCCAAGGTGCCTTCCAAAGTCTACACTCTTAGTTTGGGACTTTAAAATTTTTTCCTAACTCACCACCTGCGCCTTCATTCAAATGGCTGGGAAATTGTTGGTCCTGTTTCCCATGTTGTAATTTCTAACCCTTTGATTACATTGCTGTTCTTCCTCTTCGCTTGCTGAAATTCTGCACATCTGTAAATAACATCTCACCGGTGAGGCCGCCTGAGGCCCCGTGAGGCCCCGTGTCCTCTCCCCGTAACTTTCCTCTGCTGACGTCGGCAGCTTTTCCGTCTGCCTCTCCTATCACACTGGCCTCTTCCTTCCATACCACTTTTATATCACCCCGTACAGTTTGTTTGTTTGCTCACTGAGGTTTTTCGAAGCTTCTTTTACTCTCTGTTCCTTTTATATTTCTGTTGACAAAACCACGACCCTCTGGATTGTGCTCTGTGGATTATACTCACAGGAGCACCTAGGAAGTTTTTCTTAGGCCATAAAAAATCTGTAAGGACTCGTTGAATTAAATTGAATTGTTGGGCCACATTTTTAGAAATGGGTGTCAAACTCCACTTTTCATGGAACTGAACGAGTTTAAACAGTAAACTTCCTACAGTGCTAATGTTCCGAAAAAGAGTCTCCATGTGTGACTGGAAGAGAAGCATTAGGTGTTTGACCAGCAGCTGCTGTTTGGATGATACGTTTGTACAGAAATCAGTAAGCAGGTATCACAGACACCTGGGGTCAGGAAACGAGTTCTACGAAGTTAAATGTTTGATTATGATGTATGATACGCGTGACACACATTTAAAGCTTATCAAGAGTTTACTAAACAGAATCTTCACATATTGGAAATAAAACCTATCTCACGCAGTTTCATGGGCCTTCTGTTTAGGAAAAAAAAATCAAATGGGAACACATATTTTCAAGGAATGTTGTTAGAAGGAAATCAAACTTGAAAAATATTTTCAAATAGTACCACAAATGCTTTGTTTTTTTATGGTGCAACATGAAGGCATTTGTCCTGAGTTAGGACGTTTCTGAGTATTCGGAATCCTAGGAAGGCCACATCTGTACAAAGAAATAGGGTCCGTAAGCACGGGAACAGTCACAGGGAAGCTTCCCGAGCCTTTAACGTTTCTGCCCGTTATTTATATCTGCCCTGCCTTCCTGATTGACCTTCTGTTTTCTTCTTAGATTATTAAAACGAGAAGAAAGTTTCATATTCATTCCTCGGTCCCGTGAAGAGCTTCCAGATAACTTTCCAAAGGAAATCCCTGGGATCTGCTATTTCCTGGAGGTAAGAAATGGTCCAAAGCAGCCAAAGCCTTCTCTCTCCTCATCAAGAATAAAAAAAGTTTCCTACAACATCGGCACCATGTTCCTCCGGGAGACGAGCCTCTGAGACCTGCTGCAGATCAAAGACTCCTCCCAAAAGCACAAGCCCAGCCCCTGGGTCCGGACAGGAGCCTGGAGAGAGACTGTTTCTCTCTCAGCGAGTGCGTGGCTGAACACGAGTATGGAATTTCTGTGTTATGTCAGGCAATAATCATAGAAAAAGATGGGTGACGACTGTCAACAAAAAAGCTGGAGCATGAGGAGAAATAAGATGTGTCTATTCATGAGTGTTTTGGGTCATATATATATATTTTAATTACAAGTATGGATGCCCTTTCAAAACTAACCAATAAATAGATTCTGTCTTCTTGTTTGTCACACATACCAGTGTCTTTCCATATATATTTGTACCACTTTGGAGAGCCAGTTTTGATTATATATTCCTACATTTAGTGAGTTGGTAGCTGAGGAATATTTTCTAATTTTCTTTTTCTGAACAGACATTTCATACATATATCATGGCAATGTGGTAAACTTCCCAACTGGGAGACTTGTAACTCCGCAAAATATTTTAGGGATATTACCTATTTTTATACATGTCTCTTCTTAGATAATTACATTTCACACAATACTGTTGGATTTTCCGAATCTCCTACCGTACTGCTGGTATATTATGTAATGCTAACCTATTAATCTATTTCACTTAGTTAGAGAGATTAGTGCTTGGACTGAGAATATATGTAACCAAGGATTTCAGATGCTGAGAAAGCATTATATGTATGCTTATAAATATCTTTTAGATTTAATTAATGTAGCATGAAATCCAGAGGAAATAGAATTTTCTAATCACAGATATATCTCTAACCAAGATTAAGGAAAGTCTTCTTTGCCATCTAACAAATATCAGTTAAAATGATATGCTTGGCTACATCAAACCCTTTCAAACCTAGAACTTATAAATATATGTAGTTTTTGCAACACTAACCTGCATTCTGATAAACAGCCTTGTACCAAATGACATGGTGATAACTCCACTTACCCTTCCCAGTTCATGCCTCCTAAGGGCCGACTGCCACTTTTGAAGCAAATTCCTGGATACTGGCATTAGTGACAAATAGGTTTCGGGACATTTTGCTAAGAATGTTGTTGTTTCTTGCATAACACAAAGCAAGGAAAACCCTATATTTCATGGCATTGAGTTTTTTTTTCTTAAATGATTTTTCAGTTTGACGGATGTGGCTTTTAAATTCAGTGAGTCATCTTCATGAACACTTCACTAATTTAACAGAACTAGTAATCACTGCAGTGACGGACAGATTTCCATCGCATGTCCTGCTAAAATGAAGACCTGTTCCCTTTAATCCATACTGCATGAAAATAATACTACTGGCTCACACTAAAATTAGGAGCACAGCGCGTGCAGGGCTCTCTTATTTCAGATCAGATGTAGCCTAAGTTTCTATTGAGATTAATGAGCTGGGAGCACTTGTTTCCTTGAAACCCTGCAGTGGTCATTTTCTTACTCATATGTAGCTCATGTCTACTGGACGCAATGCAATATATTCCTTTTCTGTTGAGGAATTTTGGCTGCATTACAATTTGGTTTATGGCATAACTTAGCTGAGAAGCATATTAACTAATTTCCAATGTAGTCTGTGAGGCTTAATTGATGTTTTTGAGTTCTCTAAGTGTGTGGCTAGAAACTATTTGTTATAATCATGATCCCTTTTACAATTTGAGCCTGTCTTTGCCCTGGGGTATGTGAGGGAGTGGTGCGACACTTTCTATGTGAAGAGAAGAGGACGGAGACGCTGAGCTCTCTGAGGCCGGCCGGACCCTCTCTTCTCTAGACCTGTTATGTTTTCAGTGACATGGTGGAGAGAGGACCAGGATTTACAGGGGCTACACATAGGCTCCTATCAATGAGGAAGGTACTCTCCTGGGAGTTATTACACAAAAACAAGTCTCTTCGGGGACTAGGGGACTAGTCACAGGGACAGCGGGGAGGTTTACAGCTGGTGTGGACAGCAGACTGGGAGCAACTCAGTCCTCCTGGTGACATTGGAAAATGCCGGGTCAATGTGGATGGGCTCCCCTTGGCCCGGGGAGAGAACCAGGCTCCCTGAAGTCATCTCTGCCTATTCTGTGTAGTAGCATAGAGTTTATTATAATATAATCAACAGAAGTTTTGGTGGTAAACACAGGACTTCCAGGAATTCTAAAATCTGTCTTTTGCAAAGATTTGTCTAAGCAACTATTCTAAACACATGGCTAGTCTCTCTGTGCTTAAGAATATGTATGGGAAACAAATTTTAAAAGCATCATTGGAAATCCATTATCTGGTAGTTGGTGATAGGACTCAAGAGAAGAATTGTGTGTGTGTGTGTGTGCATATATATATCACAAAATCTGTATTCGTTTATATAACTTTACCTAGAGAAGAAGCGGCCATTTACACTGTCACCCTGTATACCATGCCAGCCTTTTCTTACATATCACCAACAGGAAGCAAACTACATTTTTCATACAGTATAATCCAAATGTATTTTTGAAGCGATAGCATGAGGCCGTGGTCTAAGCTGTTATCACTTTGCCTACCCATTACCGTTGAATATTACAGACGCTCTGTTCCTAGGTGTAAGGTACTGTCTAAAATACATGTTCATTCCGCTTGCAGTCACAGAAGTCACAAGCTGTGAAAAGGCGTTATATTTTTATTTGTCCTACACAATGCAGTCTACATGTTCTCTCTTGTGAATTGTGACTGTAGTAATGTGGCAGCATTTGGTATTTTATTTGCCTAATATCTATACAGCATTTTCACTTATAAACTATTGTAATCAGCGTGCATTTTGGTATGGCAGTTAAAAGGAATTTAAATGATGTTCCCTTAGAAACCAAGCAATTGGGAAATAGTTTTAGCCCACTCTAAAAGGAATGCTTTAAACTATAATTTGGCACCTATAGGTCCTGTATCTTAATGTTTCTTCAAGCAGCTGATTTGAAGAAGGCACTTGATGACTGCCCATCGGTACCAGTGGTTTCCATTAGCACCAGGGTCATCTGGGTGAGAGGAAGCCAGCAACTGCACATAAATGGTTATCTAACAAAGTCAGAAGCCCCTAATATTTACTCAAAGTGTAAAACACACTATCAGCTTTGCCAACCTTAATAATTAGGTAACATTGGTCATAATAAAAAGAATCATAATAAGAGTAAAAGAAACATGTTTAGTTGAAACTCTTGGGTGTCTAAAGAAGGAAAAAAAGACATGGCTTCTGGGGGCCATGGGACCCAACTATCTAAAACTGCCTCTCTATTAATCTCTTGTCTTATAGTTTAAATTATTTGGGGTTTTCCTTTACTGCCCGATCGTGTGTGGAACCCAGTGGGCTGAGTGACGTACTGGGCTCTGAGACAGACGTCCACGCCTGCGACTGGAGAGAAGGTCTTTAGACTCAGCAGCTCACACAATGACTCAAACAATAGCAACTCAAACAAAATCTCATGCACAGGGCAGCAAGGCCTTTACATTTGAAAATTCCTCCAAAGAGTTCCAGCAATAAAGCAAAATTGCAAAAGGCAAAGCCTTGGAGAATTTGGAAAACCTCCAGGCTCTGTGTTTTGTACACAATCAAATTGCTGCCAAAGGAAATAGTGATCTGAAGTTACCCTACACCAGGACTTTGCTCAAGATTCTGACTATCATTAAAGATATGTTTGTTGCAGGCTTCTTGAGTTCTTGAACTAGACAGAAAGTAAAACTTTTACACACAGGTGTCTGTCTTGTGCCTTCTAAGCACTACTTAGCCCTTCCCAGACTCTCTCTTCCTCCATGCTATAACTAGAAACCATCTCAGCCCTTCAAGCCTGGCCCCAGCAGGCATCATTGTCCTCTGAACCTGGCATGGCCATGGAGAGAACCGCTGATGCTGGTCCGGGTGGTAGGGACGCCTGCACAGTGCCAGGCCTGAGGGAACCTGCACCTCTGCAGTGGGCTGACCCCTGAGAGACGTGCAGGGTCACTGCTTCCACCTGCAGCTTCTCCCACTGCTCTTTCTTCAAAATACAATCAGACCGCAAGTGCTCCATGTAACCTCACTGAATGGACTTTGGAATTAATCACACATGACTCTGAATGGACTTTGGGTGGCACCACTAGAAACTTTAGTCCAAGAACCAAGCCCTCTATCATAGCTAAGTTGTTTCCATTAGTAGGGAATAGACCTCCAACAACAAAAATTACATCATTTCAGAAGCTTCTGTAAGCAGAGCTTATTAGATAAAGCCCCAAATCATGATACAGGAGAGGCTGAATTATTAACTTTTAGCATGTTCCAGTCTGAGGGATGGTTTTATGGCAGCTCTTGTTACGGATGTACCTAATTCGCAACTAGCCAGTTTAACATACACATAAATTGTGTCCGGATCCTCACAGTGGTGAATGAAGACACTGATAGTGCATACAGATGAGCATAATCTTGTCAGACTGTACATCGAGATAGTGTGCAAAATTCCTTCCTCACACTTGATTCAAATAATTGAACCCTAAGTTCCGCTGTGCTTCCACTTTCTGTCACCTTCCTTTGTTCCTTCTTTCCTTCCTCCTTTTCTCTCATAAAAGAGTCATCCATACATTTATAATGCAGGAAGAATCACTGCTAATCTCGTATCGTTAAACAGTTTTATAAAGTGATGAATATTCTGTGTGTGTCTGTGTTTATTGAATGTGGATATTGCATGATTTAAAGGAATCACCTTCCCTGAAGGACCTGGAGATGTAGAGAAGGAAAGTGTGTGTTTTGTTTCCAGTACGTGGTAACCAGTTCATGGCTTCAGTTGAGCACCTCATTACCATGCCATCCTTATTAAGACATGATCTAGTTCAACAGTCCAACCAACTGACAGGGACATAACTGACTGTCTTCATAGGAATTACCCAGGGAGTTTTATGAATACAAATCACTAGGTTTCACCTTCAGAGAGTTGGAGTCATTAGGTAGGGCCTAGGAATCTGTATTCAGAAAGTCACTCTAAGTTATGCTGATATACAGCCAGGCTTGGGAAATGTTGAAGACTACTCAGATAATCCCATTTAGAAGGAGTAAAGACAGGGAGATGAGAATCTATTATTTCATGTGTAAGTTAGTCAGGAAAGTTAAGTACTCTGAGCTTCATACCATTTTTCCCTTCATACGTTTCAGTTTTACCTTTGATTTCCAGTTTGTCGTCGGCTTTTTGAACATGAGTCTTTGAACTTGA